GCTGTGGCAAGAAACCAAAGCTGGCGGCCCTGGACTTTTTGGCAGGTGGTCACTGCAGGAAGGTGCTGGGACTGCAGGGCCTCGTGCACAAAATGGCGCCCATACACAAAATGGCGCCCCTGAACCTCGCCTCAGGCATGCGAGCAAGTGGTCAGCGTGAGGAAGACACGCTCCCGTGTCGCTGTGTCCGCTGCCCAGCCCTGTCCCCTGCCTGCTGTAGTCATGAATGGTTCAAGGACATATTTTTGAGGCTGGATCTCTTGGTATTAAAGGCTGGCTTGGTGTCTACTCCCTTCAGGCGTGGTGTGCCCTGCCTGTCCTATACCTGTGGTGCTCCTTCCTCCATGATCTCCATGTTCAGATGCTCTTAGGGTGCCAAATTTGTGAGGCTGAGAACATCGCCTACTTCCCTGGTCACCTTCCAGTGCCTGAGGGAGGAGATGGGGAAGGGTCCACAACAGGGTTTGGCACCCGGCCACTGCTTCTGTTCTGGGCATCTGTACTGCAAAACCAGCGTCCCTTCAGCAGGACTGGGCACGATCCTCCTCACCACCCAGGAACAAAATCAGGAGGCTCCTTGCACGAGAGAGGAGAGGGGATCGGGGATCTGCCAGCATGGCTGTGGGTGTCTGGTGGCTGACATGCCCTGGAGAGGCCCTGAGCTGGTAAATGACTGCGAGACATTAGACTAACCCTAGTGGAAAAAAAGGAAATCTGGAGTATTTTGCTTTTTAACTACTGCCCAGACACAGTCCTTTTATTTCTGTCCATTTATGCTACTAGAGATGAGTTATTGGAGAAAGGTGCTCGGAAAATGAGATGTTGAGGTTGTTGCTTCTGTTATCATTTCACTGAACTAGCCATTGATTTTTTTGCTTATCATGACATTTATTAAAATAGATTCCTTTCACTTGTCATAATGCACCACCTCCTGGCTCTCAGTCCCTCACTATACAACAGCCAAAAGTTCGAGCTAAGATGCTGGTTAATCAAATCCTGGGAATTTCCCAGAATAAGAGAAATCCCCATTTGGGAAATGCTGCCTCAGAAAGGAATGTTTTGCCCTAATGCAATTTAAATTGTTTTGTTTTCCACAGTGGTAGAAGAATGACCGGGTTTTCACTGCAGAAGCAGCGTGTGAGCCCGTGGGATGCTGCAGGTGCGTGGTGGGAGCTGCAGTAAGGAGGAAGCCTGGGGCTGGGGCTCCTTGGGCAGCTCTGCAAACCCCAGCACTCTCCAGGTGGCCATCCCAGCCTTTCTTCTGTTTTTTCTTTGAACTTTCTTTTCCCCCATCCTGCGCTCCCCTGATGGGATGGCTCCCTCTGTGCCTTACTGCGGTTCTTACAACAAAAAGCTGATGTTTCAGTGTGTTGCCTCACAAATAACAATTCTGATGCGTACTCGGTGAAGAGTTTCTAATTCAGCTTTTCAATGCCTTATCCTTGTCAGGCATGGCTAATATAATTAGCAACGGAAAGTCATGCAAAAATAATCCTGACTCTTCCTTGATCTTCACACAGAGAGTGATGCAGTAATTGCCATCGCTTCAGTGTTTCTGGAGCAAGATGCTCTTCCAGCATCTGCTCAGCTTGTGCTGAGCAACGAGCCTGTGTTGTGTGATGCTGCAGCATTGCATGTGTTCTGCAGGGGACAGATTTGGAAACACTTGCATCAACAGGGCAGTGAATGCGTGACCTTCTTGTGCAGCATCTGCAGGTGCATTGGGGTTTGAGCATCACTGCTAGCACCAGACAGGCAGATATGTGGTCCATTGGAAGTCTGCTGTGTAAATAAATACATCAACAATGAACATTTGTGTTACGGCCCTTAATCTAGAGGCAAGAAAGGGGCCCTTTCTTCCTTAGCTGCAGCAGGCTGTGTTGGTGCTCCAGCTCTGGCTATGCTTATCGCAGCTTATTGCACCTGCCTGCTTCAGCTGTGGGGAATTTTGTCCAGGCACTCAACTTTTTGGGTGCTGTCACTCCTGGTTTTTGCCTAAAGTAAGCTTGGAAAGGAAGGGAGAAGACGTGATTTCTGCAGATCTAAAGGATGATTTCTTTTATTGCTAAGGATGCCGTGTGACTTTATTGCCTTTCTGAGCTCTTTAACACAGCAATAAACGAGCTGTTAAAATATTTTAAAATCAATAAGTGTAATAAAGAACCAGGCAAATTACAAAGCCGCACCTGACATTTAGTGATTTGGGAAATAACCGTGTCCTGAAGCCAGGGGCGCAGTGGCAAGGAGGAGGTGCTGGCTGCAGGGGGGGGGCAGGGGATGGGAAATAGTTTTTGGGAGCTGCCCCTTGCCTCTTTGAGGCACGCTGGGGCTTGGGCTTCATCTGCAGCTCAGCCTTGCTCCCCAAGTGCCATTTGTGGGGTGCTGTGGTCCCCCCGCAGTGGGGGCAGGTGGTGGGCAGGAGGCACATCCGTTTCCCCCTCCCAGCTTCACGCATCCAAAGGGCTTATCAGAGACAACTTATCAGAGGATGCCCTCCCTGGAGACCTGTTTTCTTGAAAGATGCTGGTGCTTTTGTAATTAAGGCGATTGTTTAAATTCATTGCCTTAGACCGGATCAGCATCGTACCTTAACCAACTGTATCTCCCCGAGCTTGGGAGGGGTTGGAGAAGGGTAAGGGTGGCTGTCGTGTGATTAATTCGGCATCTGGAAAGGTTTACGGGTAAAAACCTTGTTAAACTGAAATGCCTAATAAAGATGCAGGGAAAATCACATATAGGGCATAACCCGGGCAGGCAGCAGCCCTGAAAGACCCTTGTGCAGCAGTCACCCAGGGGCTGCATGTCACCAATGTCACCCTCACGGTCAAACATCTGCTGATGGCAGCAAGAAACGCTCCGGGCCCCCACCTCGCTCATCTCATGCCCACGTACCTGGCAGGGCTGCGCACGCTGGGGCTGTTTTGGGATATTTAATTTCCTTTCTCACTTAACCTGAATGCTTTCTGATTTCGTGGAAATCCGCAGGTAATTGAATGTAATTGTTTAAAGAATCAAATCGTTTAAATTACAGGGTGATGCTTGAAATAAAATGACAGTCTGTGGGAGGTTATTAACATCGGCGGTGCTTTTCCTGCCTGGGATGGAGGTTTGGTGTGCTCCTGCCTGGCAGGGGGGTGCAGCTGGAGGAAGAGGATGGTGAGCGGTCAGGATCCGGCACCTGCTCAGCCCTTGGTGGGATCAGCGCTGGTCCCATCCCTGTTCCCCTCCTTATTCCCGTGTGGATGGTGATGGGCACCTGAGGCTGCCCCTCAGTCGAGTGCGGAGGGGAAGGGAGGATGCAGTGAAGAAGGGAGCCCAAGTTTGTATTTTTTGTTGTTGTGGGAGGCTTTTCTATTTCTTTTGTTTGTATTTTTTTGTTGTTCCATTTCTTTTGTTAACAGATGTGAAAACCATCTCAGATTTAAAGGGTTTGAACCATCCCTCCAACACCATCTCATCCTCCCTTGCTCCTGGAAGTTGTGCTGCCCTACAGACCAGCTGTTTGTCTTAAACGCAAATTCAAAACTCGTCGATTTAAACTTTTACCATCAAATAAGCCCTACAAAGAGCCCAGTCTTATGAACCCTGCCATCCATAACGGAGCAAAACTTGCTCTGCGCTCAGTGGGGCTGCGTTTTGAGGACTGCAAACTCATGCAGGGTATTAAAAACAACAGTAACAAAATAAATATAATAAATATATAAAATCCTGATCCCCTCCCCAGCACTTTGCTGTTGCATTGCACCGTATTAATGTCAGATTTTCTGCAAGAAGCTGCACTGGTAACATTTTGTGACTTCGAATAGCAGCGCTGGGCGCGACGAGCCACAGCAGCACCGTGTCTGCTGAGGAGATGGGAAGCGACAGGGATGGCTAAGAGTGTCACGGTCAAAATTTTGAGCAGTTTAAAAGAGAAGACAGGCTTTTTAAAAGCTCCTGACATAATTACCTTTTTATTTATTTATTTGTTTTAACCAGTCTTTTCCCCGTTTACCCTGTTAGGGAACTTACGACTGAGGTTTGCATGGGTTGACAGCCACCTTCCATTTTATTCGTATGGGGGAATCTGTGAGTGCTGGCCCACTGGCCCCGATTTTTTCAATTAAAGAGAAGAAGGAGAAAGGGGAATTGCAGGGCTTTGCCAGGATGAAGGCTGAGCTGAGTGCTTCTTTAGGGGTACAGAGCTTTCCTCTTTTAAGAGAGAGCCAAGCACCCGGCCATCCCGCAGGTGGATGGATGCCCTCCTCCCCGCAGCTGGGGATGGCTCCAGCACCAAAGGCTCGGCTGATGCTGGTGGGAAGGATCCAGGAGTTGTGGTGCCTTGCTTTTCTTCTCCTTCCTTAGTTGCTTACTCGCCCCATCGTCTGTGCTGCTGGGTCACCTGTAGCTCCCCTAAACCCAGCAAAGCCAGGCCAGCACAGAACCAGTGAGCAGGGACCACGGCTGCCAGGCCGTCCGAGGAAACATTCAGAGGAGTGGGAATAAAGCGAGGTGAGGAGCACGTTTTGGCTCGCAATAAATTCTGGGTACCGGTACCTGTGAGCGTGTGAAGTGGGCAGCGGGGAGCTGTGCGACAGGCCCCTTCGCTGGCACAATCTCATCTAGCACGGTCAATGGAGCGCGACGGGATTATTATGAGCATTATTTATTATGTGTATTATACTGGGGGGGGGAGGAGTGAGAGCTGCTGGTGGTATGATAGATAAGGAAAAGGCGAGCAGCTGGAAATGCAGTGCAAAACCAGTCCCGCATCCTACCCGAGTGCCACGGCACGGCAGTGGTGACCGATACCTCCAAGTAGCATGAATATCATCGCCTGGCCATACCTGTAAGATATATCTTTGGGCTCCAGGCTCCGTGTACGTGCGTGGAGATGTGTGAGTGTGGGCACTGCAGTACCCAGGTGCTCCTGGGGTTGCCGGCACAAAGGTCCCAAGCACCACTCCCCCAGTTGGCATCTCATTTATCCCAAACTGGAGCGCCCGGTCCTGCCCCTCACGGTAGCTCGGTATCGGGCCACATTGCTGCAGGATCGGGACAAAGGGACGATGATACAGGCAGGTTTCTATGGCAACAGAGGAGGGGTAGGTAAAATGTAGAAATGTTGCAAGCACCCGCTCGGCTCGGTGCACCACACCGCACGCTGCTGCGAAAGCTGCTGCTATGTGGGGGAATAAAAAAAAAAAAAAAGTCCGGCTGCCTTTACCTTTTGGGTCGTGGAGCTCTGAACTAGGCAGACATGGCAATTTTTTCTCCGTTTAGCCGGGAAGAGAAAGGAGACACGGCACACGGGCCCTCGTTTTCTGCGTGTAAAATGTGTGTGTTCTTTAAAAGGCAGTGGTTGGCTGGTTTTCCGGACATGATGTGGTTGAAGCTGTCATCGTAATGGAAATTCATTGCTGTAGCTATGGTAAATCGAGTTTTCTGCCTGTGCTGAATGCATTAGTCTAATGAGATGTTTGCAGCTGGAGAGCTGAGCTGCTGGAGGCTTGCACCGTGCTAAGAGGCAGGGAGAAGATGGCTTTTGCCGGGCTCTGGGTGCATGTGCCCAAAGTCCTCTGCCCGGTGGCTCCAAATGCCCGGGCTCCCTAAAGGCACTGCCCGGCGTTTGAGCAGAGGCAATAGGTAAGGGGAAAGCATGCTTCTTTTTCTCTGCCTGATTTTCGTGTTCTTCAGCCTTGTTTGAGCAGTTCTTGTGCTGCTTGCACGCGAACTTTACAGCTCCTCGATCGGAGACCCTCTGCGGGGCACCGCACCCGTCCCCAGAGGCAGCTTCCCAGCACAACCAGTTTGCGAACTGGTGCCGGTGCGGGATGTGCTGGGGAAGGTGCAGTGGGTCAGCAGTGAGTACTACAGGGCTGCTCCGTGCCGTGCCGTGCCAGCAGCACCTCCGTGCATGAGTTTGTGCACACTTCTGGCCGCGGAGCGCGAGGGCTGCAGGGCAGCATCGTGCTTCCCCAAACCCGGCTCCAAGTGGGGTTTCTGTTTTTTGTTTTTCTTTTCCTGCCAGGTAAGTGCTGGTTTATAAGCAGCTTACTTTGCAATATACTTCGCAGGCAGCATTTATACCACAAGAGCTGGGTTTTTAGTGCAGCTGACGGAGCAATGAGTTGCACTGCAATCTCCTCGGATCTCCCAACCATCTGCTCGGTCGAGTCGCTGCCCTTCGCTGCAAAATCGAAGGGAGCGATGCCGCCTGTGTGCCGGCTTCCTCCTCCAAGCCCGAGGAGTAGCAGAGGTCTGTCTCTATGCCCTTCCAGGTGCTTCCCAGGTAACTTCGAGGGAGGACCCCACGCCCGGAGGAGATGCACGCACGTCCTGCTCACCCTGCCAGCTCCTCCCCGGCCACCGCCGCCTCCCCGGCCCCATCCCGCAGCCAGCACCGAGCTCGCCGAGGGTGAAGGCCAGCGTGGGTCAGTGAGTAACTCTGTGGCTGGTACCAGGGAGCTGGTACGGGGCAGAGGCTGCAGGGTTTGCTTTGCCGTGGCTTCATCCCACAGCAGCGACCTGGCAGACAGGAGTCGGGGTGGGTTTGGTGCACACGGGGCTTGTCGCGGGGGTGTGAAGTGCATCTGGCAAGGTGCGGGGGGAAAGTTGTTGAAATTCTCTGCTTGTGTGTGGGGGGGATTTTTGTTTCAGCCTGTTTTTAATTCAAGAGGCTTCTGAAGGCGCTTTGCTCAAGGATAGACCAAGGGCTTTCAGAATGGGCATTTTGAGACAAATGCAGAGCGCACAGGAGGGGGGTAAATAGCAAATACTTGGAAACTGCAGGGATGTTGTTCTTTGGGGGTGCAGGGATGCAGTCTAAAAAGTGTCCTTGTGCCACAGCAGCACCTGCAGCATCCCTGCCACGATGTGCTGCCTGTCCAGCTACACACAGCTGGGGTTGGTGTAAGTCAGCATCGCTCCCGTGGCTCCAGCCTCGTTCAACACGAGCTGAGGATGTGGCTGGGAGATGCGAGCGTGCAGGTTTTGTGGTCTGGCGTAGGTCAGGGGTCTCCCAGCCCTCTCTGGCTGCAGGTGATTTCTCATTTTAAGTAAGACGTCGCACTGATTTTCCCAACGAGGCAGAACCCTTTTGCCCCATCGTAAAAGTTATTTGGCTGATGCTCACGCTGTTCGGGTTGGAGAGGCTGGCAGGGACACGAGCTTGTTAGCAGTGGATTATGGAAGCGTGGCAAGAAAAAAACAAAAACTACCAACCACAGAAAAAGTACGTGTGCTGCATAAGGTCAAAAACTTTGCAGAGTTGATAAATGCTTTGTCAATGGAGCACAGCAACTCTGATATTGTGATCATTTCATTTAGCAACAGTGTTTAACTCTGGTACTTTCATATTCTGGGGAAAAGAGTGGTTAGAAAGAGGCAATTTGCTTTCTTGACCAAGGAATGCCTTGCTCTGAGGTTCCTCACCTGCTGGTATGGGTGCTCAGTGGGAGCTGTGGTATCTGAAATGAAGAAATTGCAGTGAGAGGCTTTTCTCCCATTTCTTCTCTTATCATTGTGCTTGCCACAAAACAATTATTTTGAAATATTTTTAAAAAGTTTAAAAGTGAAATACTACAGAGCACGCTGTCACGGTACATGAGTGACTCTCCAAGCTTCAGCAAGCTGAGAACTGACCTTTGACAGCTCTCTCTTGAACACCTTCCTTCCCCAGCGTTTAAGGTAATCAAATAAAGAAGAAGAGGGCACTGGCAGCAAGGTGAGGGGAAGCAGGGTGTGGGAAGGTTTGCTGTCCACAGCCCAGGAACAGGAAACACACAGGTGGATTTGCTGGTGTGTCTGCCTGCCCCATCACCAGCCCTGTGGGGGCGTGATGCTGGGATGTGATTGTCCTCCACGTACCTCGCCACGCCGGGACCTATTGGCATCCTCGGGGGCTTTAGATTACTTTCATAAAGTATCTCGTACAGTGTAATGATTTTTTTTAAGAGAAAAGGATGATGGTGAGATGAAGAAATGCCCCAGCTCCCTGAAATCCTGCCCTACTTCTCTACCTACAGCTTTAAAATGGTGCAAAGGAGGAGTCAGCTGCATTTGCATAGAGCTGAGCTCTCCCGCTGACCATAACGAGCACCTTCAGCAATTAACAGGTGATGGTCAACACGGGTGTGCTCGCAGAGTGACTGAACTGTTAGTGGTTTGTGTGTGCAAGGAAGGATATTGCAGGCTCACCTGAAAGGGAAATAATGAATGACGTGTATTCATTCTGTCGTAGCAAGTTGCCTCATGAGGAACTGGTTCTCTGTGCAAAGGAAGAAAATTGTCTCTGTATTGTGCTGTGTCTTAACACAATTCATTCAAAATTGTGCGTCTGTGTGTCAGCGGATTGCACGCTGCTGTGTGAAACAGAATCACGATGTGTGGACGCATTAAAGGCAGTGGCTAAATTTGCTATTGATTAATAAAACTGAAAATAATCTACAATCTTGGAAGCATCTTTGCAGCAAGTTTTCTTTTGATTAGAATGAAGGAATTGACAAAAGAAAGGGAGATGTGCGGGGAAGCTAGGGTTAAAATCTACTAATTAAAGATGTAAATTTGTGATATTCTACTTTTCTAATAAAACCTTGCGAAGATGATGAAACTGTAAGTCGTTCATTAAGATTGACTGCTCCCTTTAGGAACTAGTGTAAATTTGGCCAGAATAAAGAATTGCCCAGAGACAGTCTGGATGTGTAATTATGTTACGCTGAAGGATGAATAATTCCTCTTGAACTGAGCAGTTTGCTGCTGCCCTGCAGTTTATCCTGACCCCATCTTCAGAGGTGATTCCCATCCTACAGGAGAAACGTTGCTGTAAATGCCAGCCCTTTGCTCTCCGACTGTTCAGCCTGCTCCATTCATTTTGGGTGCGGGATGTGAAGGACAGGGTTTGCTTTCCATCCATCCTTCACCCTCTTCCCCACCTCACCCTAGCCCCAGGACTTGCAGGGGAACACTATGGAGAATGAGTTCCCCCACAGCCAGAAGGGCTACCTGCAGGCTTCAGCTTTCTGAAAATGGAAATATTGTGGCAAAACAGGTCCCCTGAGACTTCTCTGCAGGAGCAGGCTGGCTGGCGGTAGCTGTCTATATACACCACATCGGTGTGTGTTGGCCTGACCCAGCCAGCAAGAGGGAGAAGCCATGGCCCTATAATGAGGAAGTCCTTGGTAACATGAAAGTATTTAACCACACTGGCTCCAAATGATTTCTTTCTACTGGCCAGCCATGGGGAGGACACCACGTGCAGGTAAGTTTCTAACCAAAGACCTCCTCTTGCGCCACAAGCAGACTTACAGAGAATTATGGTTGTTACCATCCTCAGAGGCTCCAGCTGGAGTTCAGGCAGTCTTCAAACTCCCCAGCCAGAGAGTATGTGCCATTCAAACTCTTTAAGTCAATCCAGACAATCCAGAAATCAGTCTAGGTTTCTGTATCTGAAAGGCAAAGCTGGGCTAACCTAGGCTCTCCAGGTGACCTGAGCCTCTTACCTTATTTCTGAAGGAAACCACCTGTCCCCTGTGTCAGTGCCACCAAATCATCCTCAAAGTGCAAGCGGGATTGGGATAGGGGGTCCTTCTTATAAAGTCAGTGTGTAAAATGCTCTGATTTCCAAAGTCCTTGCCATAGGTTTGTTTCTATCTGCACCCGTGGACACAGTGGGGAGGGAAATATCAGTGTTGGGGGAGAGAGCAAAGACTGAGGGAGGGAGTTTCCAAAGGTGGACAGAGATAATGCTCAGACATTTCCTTAAGATGTGAGGAAAGCACTGGACAGGGAAAGGGGTGCACTGGGTTCAAAACTGAGAGCATTGTCCAAATGCTTCTTGAACTCCGGAAGCTCGGTGCCGTGAGCACTGCCCTGTGGAGCCTGTCCCAGTGCCCGACCCCCTCTGGGCGCAGACCCTTTCCCTAACCCCCAGCCTGACCCTCCCCTGTCCCAGCTCCATGCTGTTCCCTCGGGTCCTGTCGCTGTCCCCAGAGAGCAGAGCTCAGCGCCTGCCCCTCCGCTCCCCTCGTGAGGGAGCTCCAGGCCGCCATGAGGTGAGCTGTTGAACTGTGCAATAGAGAAAGGATTTTTCCTAGTTTTCCATCCAGAGGAGTAAACAAGTGAATCAAGGTTATTGATTTATTACCATGAGGAAGAAGCGATGATAGCTCCATGTCATCCTCCGTGTGTGGAAGACACCTCTGTTTGGCATAGCACCTTCAAGATCTTGCATAAGGAACTGAAGGAGGACTTCAGTATCTGATGTGCTTTAAAGATCTGATTACTACAGAAGATATCTTTTCTCTGCCTTGGAAAAGCACAGACCTTATGAGGGCTCATGTGAAGCTTCTGAAGAGAATAGCCACGAGAAGAGAAGGTGAAAAAGTTCTCTCTGCCCTAGGCTCTGTCAGAGGAGGCACCCAGCTTTGGTGCCAGGAAAAGAGAGAGTCACAGCGGGTAGCCAACCTTTCCAGAAGGACGTTCTCCTCTCCTGCAGCTGGGCAGGTGACAACAAGGCTCTGAGTGAAGGACCCTGACTGGGGACAGGTCACCATGGCCCTGCCGTGTCCCTGGGGGACAGGAGAGAGGCTGGAGCTACAACAGGGAATGGCGATACCTCAAGGAGTGGCTTCGGTGTGGGTATGCAGTGGACACACACACACAGAGAAAATAAACGGGAGAGGATGTTGTCAAGAAGCTGTGACCAGTTACTTATGTGTATCTGGGGACTCGGTACCCTTCCCCCCGTCGCCTTCAAAAATGTTTATAGCATTTATCTCCTGATTTTGTCTGGCAGCCTCCATCTATTTCCGTATAAGCGATGAATGAGAGATGTGCCTAGTAACTGTCTCTTATGGCTCAGTAAATACTTGAATTTATTTGCATATTAAGTCAGCTGCGCTTATACTGTGCTCACTAAATGCAGCACCACGAAATGCTGTGCAGAGGAGGCTGGTCGGCCATTAACATGGTCAGGATTTATGTGAACGACTGCCTTTAACATTAATGGAAGTTATCTACACAAATCGTCTTCCAGTGGGGGAATAGGCCGTAATGTATGTAAATACATCTTACTCGCTGTCGTTTAGTCATTCAAAAGGGTACCCAGCGAGGTAAAACACTGCTCTGGTGCTGGTACTCAGTGTCCCCTAAAACGTGGAGAGGCAGATGGCTCTCTCATTTTGAGGACCCCTTGCTCCATGCAGTGGCTGGGAAATGGATTCCTAGGACAAACCTTACAATTCAGAGGCATTTTTATTAACAAAAGATGGTAGAATTCACACAATCCCAGGTGTTTTGAAACTTATATTAAATCTACCTGACATAGCTGCCACAGATGATTTCTAGTTTAATGAGGTTATTAAATGGGGAGACAATACTGCAAAAATGATCATTGATCTTGTGTCCTCGGCCATTATTTTTACACCATTAGCAG